TAATTAGATATTTACATGGATCTTTCTAGAACATGTTTTTAGAAATATTACACTTTATTGGGCTTTTTAATTAAATTGAGCCTATGAGCAAAATTCTTAAGCCCGCATTACTTACTCCAAAATCAAGTTTACTTCCCAACAATTGTTGTATTGCAGCAGGAGGCAGTAAAGCAATTGGAGGCAAGTGTTGAGTTCATGGATAAAATATCGTATTATCGAGTACAATCTAATACTACAAACCAAACATGCACCGGAGGATTGCCTTTTCCTTTTTACTTTTTGGCCCATAATTTCCCGGCTGATGAATAAAGCATGCAGTTTCCATGTTTCGCCAGAAGATGATACAAAAGAAGCAGCTAATAAGCTTCATCTTGAAGGCCCTAGCAATGACTCAGAAAATGAGGACACATGTTTGGGCAAAACCCGAGGTGTGATATATTTCCATACTAGTATGCATTTCCCAAACTCTCAAATATGACACATCTCACAATATCATGTCAGTGTTCTCGAGAATGTCCTTTAGAAGGAACTCGGTCTTCTTGTCTTCATTTGAATGGCATTTCTTGCACTACAGACCATCAAGACTTTCACTTTTTTTTTCTTTCCTTTCAAGTATTATTTTTACTTTCAGGAGCCTACAGTTGGGTTTATTAACTAGTCAGTATCTCTGAAACACACTCACTCATCAACAAATTAAACAGAACTATACAGCTACGTGTTCATCAATATACTGGGTGGTGAACTTGCTGCAGGTATGCGTACACGGTTATTTGCATATTTGGGAAACTTGTAGCCAGGGGCGGAGCCAGGAATGTGTCGTACGGGGGGCAAAATTTTTTAAAATTGAATGTACGAATAAAATTTATATATAACATGAAAATTGTAATATAACGTTACATATTATCATTTTAGCATATTATCATTTTAGCACAACTGCAAATTACATAGCATATTATCATTTTAGCAACTAGCAAGTCTAATTTTTATCAAACAACTTTTCCAGTTTAGCAACTAGCAACCCTTCAATTTCAAATCATTCAATAGAGTATAAATTGTCTAATGTTACACTGCACACACAAGTGAAGGCCGCAAACATACCTCACTGCAGGCTGCAAATGAAGGCTAAAGCGGTGATTCCGGTGAAGTCTGAAGTACAACTGCAGTCTGCATTGCACACACAAGGGCCAAATCGACCATGAAAGTTTGAAACAATTACAAAACAACAATTACAAGGGGGTGTTGACACAACGAAACTAATACCATACAGTACAAAATTAAGCTAAGAAGCACTGACGATAATGCAACTGTCAATAAATTAGTTTATAAATCACTTAGCTCCACCCCAATCCCAATCCCAATCCCCATGAAATATGGTTAAAAATTAAAGAGCTAAAAAGCACATCAATTACACAACACAACCCACAGCCACTCAGCATGATCGACAATTGAAAGGGTCAAATTCAACTAAACTCAAAAAGAAAGAAAATCTGAAAAATATAATTTGCATCAATGCCTTCACTCCAGATAGAAATCCAGCATATGTGCTATCAATTTCCAATGCAGA